CTGGGATTAACATTCAGAAAAATTATTATAGTACATTATGAACAATCAGTCAACTAACCTACAAATAAACACAAACACAAAACTCTCAGCAGAGCGGCGAAAATTTTTTTTCACACCTTCCGACCTGAGTTGCTTTACTCCTCAATGAAGTAAGTCATCATTTCAATCGAAATCGATTGAACACGAAATGTGAATCATCTTCGAAATTCTTCAAAAATACTCCGAATATCTCCGTAAATAACAGAGAATCGCGAAAATTTGACAGCAAAAAAAAGAAGCGGATAACGTTAAAGATTTGATCAAACAATGGCTAGACAGATGATATTATCATAAAGTTGATCGTTGTATATCGGTCATTCCATTGCTAGCCGCACTGTTAAAACCGCTGAACATTGATTGATAAGACTGATATGCGGCTGCACTGGGCTGAGTATAAGGATTGTAAAAGTCCGTAGGATATGGATTATGATGATGATAGTAGTTTTGAGCAGCGGTCGCTCCAGTACCAAAATTGAAACTGCTCGATTGGGCGTTTGGGTAGCTTGATGGGTACGCGGTTTGTGCGGTGATAGTGGGATAAGGTGGAGGCCAGCCTGAAATTTTGTCTGTCTGAACGATGAAGATTTGTGAGAATGCAAAAAAAAAAAGATGATGTGCGAAAATTTAGAATTCGTCATGCATAGCATGCGATAGGATAGCAGTGAATGAATAACATCAATAAATGTTTTTAGAACGAGAAATAGGCTGTTTGGGCATATTTTGATGGAGCGAGCGAGCATGATGTCATTACAATTTCACATGAAGTTCGGCAAAAAACCAATGGTTTACCGGAAAACAGGCGCCAATCTTTAAGAAAAAATTTGAGACGTGCGTGAAAAAGTGCTCAAGAAGAACGTATCATTATGATGGTGATGGCATCGAAACCAATGAATTCTTTGCATGCAAGCAATCGATCAATCAGTAAAATGGAAAGAGTGTAGATTTTTTGAGGTATGCGTTTACATTTCGAATCGATACAGAAATTTGAGAAATTTTAATCGAGTTATGCAAAATCGATGATGTGAAAGTGTATTGCAGAAGTGCGTAATGATGATAATGAATTGTGAGTGATATTATGAAACGAGCAGCTCTCTGAGTCAATATAATGTGGTGGTAGTGATAGATTAATAAGAGATTGAGATGAAACAAAAAGCACCTACTTGCAATATTCGGAGTAGTTTCGAACGGTGAGAAAGTTGTCTTGAACTCATTCTTACTGAAGTCATTCTCGTCTTTGACGGTGCTGTTCTTCAGACTGAAATTTAGTTGTTGCTAAATTTAGAGTTGACAAGATCGGATTAAAATATGGAAAAATGCGTATTTGAGTCATCAAATACATCGATCGAATGCAAGTTCAAAAAACTTCAGGAACTTTTCGTTGTGCTCATCAGATTTGTGGTCTTTGGTGTGATCATTGGCTGGCAAATGGCTTTGGAATGAATCCTTAAACTACAAATCAAAAACACTTACCTCAAGGTGGAGATTTTGTTTGCAGCTTTAAGGTTAAACTCCAGCGAACCAGGAATGAGTAGAGGTGATATGGCTTTAGGTGGCGTAGAACTGGTTTTAATAGGTTCAGCCGGAGGTGGCGTTTGGGTTTGATTAGTGCTGGTATTGTTATGACTGCTAACTGAGGAGAGATTTGCTCTCATTGACTGGAGTCCTAAACGTTTTTGTTGACGATCTTTGGCACGTCTGTTCTTGAACCATACCTGCAATCGGTCATAGTAGATCAAGTTCATTTGAATCATCAAGAGAGCATGAAATAATAAAAGCTCAAGATGCAGTTTAAGATTGTATTCCTCGTGGTAAGTCATCCTTTTATGCTCACATGCTCATCAACAGTGACAACTCATAATGAGTTCCTTGTTGATTCTACGTCGGACATCGGCAATGGTCAAGCTCTTGAACTTTCAAAATTAAAATTCTAGAACCATTCCCTTGAACAAAGGTCTTCGTTTCAAGAAGTTATTCAATGGGATAATGAGGTAAAATAGCACACAAATAAGTATACATACGCTCGATATCACGAACATTCGAAGTGACCAATAAAATTAGATGTGATAAATTGTTTTTTATAGCCAGAAGATCTTTCAGAATCATTCAGAATTCCGAGGTCGAAAAAGATCATTCAGCATGAAAATGATTGCATGTCGATAAAAAATGCAACGACTTGCGAAATTGAACAGTTGTAAAGTACCTGGATTCGGCTTTCTTGAAGACCAACTTTCTCGGCAATCTGCTCTCGATGATAAACATCCGGATAGTGTGTTTCTTTGAAGATGGATTCCAGGAATTGCAGTTGCATCGGATTGAACGTCGTGCGTTCACGTCTTCCAGTTGATTTACGAACACAGTCCGCACTTAACACCGTAAGATGTAAAATACGCAAAACTTTTTGAAGGAGGATGACAAAAAATTGAGTACTTGATTGTGGTATCAAGTAAGTCTGGAGACTATACTGAGGAGTTCTTTTTTGATGTGAGGGACGATACTTTTACAAATAATCCTGTGGTATTTCAATGATTCAATGCTCTTCTCAATTGTTCATTTGAAAACGAAACTGTTCAAAACAATAGTAATGAACGTTTTTGAAAGGTGAATTTTGAAGTTTGAAGTTTCCCAGGGTGGATTTTCAATGCTTAGGAATTTTCAAAGAAACCTTGTCGATGAGGCAGCTGCAGAGACTGCAGTGGCCGCTGTAGCGGGTGTAAGATAGCCGGAAAAGACCGGATTCGACGAATAAGGAAACGACGGTTGATGTGTGAACGGAAAATTGTTAAATGGATACGGAGAATTGTTATTCACCATCGTTGTCAACGATACTGAGTGATCTAATTGATCTAATTGCTCGAAAACTGCAACTTCCTAGATATGCAATCTCCTTCTGAAAGCATTCACCAGTTAGAATAATTTTTAAAAAACTTTTCGACCGTAACTGGTTAGCAGATGGAAAAGCGATATCGTTGTTCACGTTGGCTTTTAGAATCGCGCTTCACTTCCTATCTTCTGGTATCATGATAATGATCAAGGATAGATCAAATTCTTGAAAGTGGATATTGTTGCGTCTAAGAGTTTCAAAGGAAAGTTTCCAAACTTCGATCAGAATTTTCGACAAGTTACGAAATCTGAATCAGTTGATCATGTAATAAACTGCGTATGCGTTTAAGTCATCCAATATTATGAAATCAAACCACTTCACCAATGTTTACTCAGTGGAGGTGTATTACTCATTGTAAGGTAATTGCTGCTGGCAAAGGCTACGAGTTAGAAATGAACAGCAATCGGATGATTATCACGAAACTTTGACGTGAATCGCGCGATTAAGTGAAAAGTCATTTACATTGAGATTAAGATTAGCTGCGCACATTCTATCATAAACAGACTCGAGTCGAGGTGAAACTCAGTGTTGCAGTCAGATTAATTTGATAGAACATTATAGGATATAAAATTAAAAACGGATCGTCCGTATTATCCGGATGATAAGCTAAGCATACAAGAGTGATCCCACAAGGCGCTAATCCAACAAAAAACAAAACCGAATGGATCAGATCAAAAAATGCAATTTCTTACGATGCACTACAAAGAAATTGACTGAATGACATCCACAGTAAAGACCACGCCTTCAGATCCCAAAGAAACGCCCAGTGCCATTGCAGTTCTCTCGAAAAAGACAAAGGCTTGCTTAGTTAAGAGGGAGAAGAGAGAAGAGAGAATACGGTACATTGTGGTTGGTTGACTGCTTTGTTTAGGTCATCAATCTAAATTGACATTGCTCAAGGTTACTGTAGAATTCGTTCTTTAGTAACGTTGATGA